TTGGGGAAGGGGAACAGTGTTGGGGAATTGGGGAAGGGGAACAGCCAAGTTGTTGTCCTTCAATCTTAGTTGTGGAGGGCACAGCTAGCTCAGCTCTAAGTCCAGTCGCCATTTGGCCGCCTGTTGGCAGCTCACGGCTGCTCAACTGTGCCGTGTTCAATCTTAGTTGCTGGTGGGCATAGCCCACCATCCCATGTGGTAGTCGAACCAGAAACCTTGTTGTTAGGAGCACGTGCTCTCACCAGCTGAACCATCCTGCCACCTGTTGGCAGCTCAGCTCGGGCACAGCTCACTGGCCCATGTGGGAATCAAACTGGTGACCCTGTTGCTCAGAGCTCACACTCTTAACCAACTGAGCCACTCAGCCAGTCCCTGTGGCCCCTTTTCCATCCATAGTTGTTTAATTTATTATTGATGAGTTTTAGAGTTATTTATAAATTTTGGATGCATTTAAAAATAAATTACAGACACCAGTGTACTTCCCTGTAAATACTTCAGTATGCATATCATTAACTAGGGTTCAATTTCTTTACATACAATGAAGTACACAAATCTTAAATTTATGATGTTTGAGATTTGACAAATGCTACTCCTGTGTAACCCAAACTGCTGTCAAGGTGTAAAACATTGTTCTGTTGATTTTTATGATCACTGATGGCTGCAATCTATTTGAAAAACAGTGCTCCAAACAACCTAGCTGTAATGCAAGGCCCGGGTAGAGGCTTTGGGCTGTAAACATAGGATTTGCAAACCTCCCTCACTTAAATGTTGCTTCTGGGGCCACAAGACCTCCTTCTTCACCATTTGGGAGACAACCAGTGTCTGAGAAGAGCCTCCCTACACAGACTGCAAGGACCACCCTGGGCTTGTTTCCAGGATGGCCTGACCTTACTGCACTGCGCAGCCCAGAAAGGCCACGTGCTGATGCTGGCGTTCATAATGGAAGACCTGGAGGACGTGGCCCTGGATCATGCTGACAAGGTAAGAGTGGTGTCAAGGCTGTTTTCTCTTTCCTTTGGACCTGGAGCTCTTGGGGCCACTCCTGCCCATTCATTGAGTGCATCCTTTGAGCTATGGGTAATGCAGATTGGACCCCACCTCAGGGAGCTACTGGCCTAGAAGGGGCATTAGGGTACAAATGAGCGAGACAGAATGTGGCCAGTTCCCTCAGAGAGGCTCTGAAAAGGACTAGACAGGTTACAGAAGGGAGTCACTGCTTTCTGCTTCCTGGAGGAGGTGGCATTTAGTGAATGAACTGGATTTTGTCGGTAAGATTGGAAAGTGTGTGTGTGGGGGGGGCATTCCAGATGGAGGAGAGAACATCGCTAGAGCTTTAGAGGTAGAAAAGGCCCATTGTGTATGAGTTCAGATGGATCAGCCTTGGGAGTAAGGGCCAGAGGGGTTGTTGGGGCCCCTCACGGAGATCTCTACCTCCAGCCTCAGTACTCTGTCCCTTATTCAGTAGGCAGCAGGGAGCCCAGGATGATTTTAGGGGGGGAGGGCCCCTCTCTCCTCCCTCTCCCAGTGGGGTCTTGTTAGGAAGTTGGATCTGGACTTTCCAGACAGGGTATGTGGGGTAAGGGGTGGAGAAAGTATCTGGGGCAGGAGAGGCCACCGCAAGCCCCGAGTGGTTGGGGAAACAGAGGCCAGATGGGCAGGACATGGGAGGTTCACTCTTTTCCTCCCCTGTCAGCTGGGAAGGACAGCATTTCACCGGGCAGCTGAGCACGGGCAGCTGGATGCTCTGGACTTCCTTGTGGGCTCTGGCTGCGACCACAGTGTCAAAGACAAGGTACTGTGATTGAGGGTCCCAGGGGAGGACCAGGCTCTCTGGGCTCCTGACTGGGATGGGCACTGGCAGCTCACCTGTGCCTACTTCTGACTCCAACATACATGTTAGAAGGGCATGCAGCCCAAGACCAGAGTGATTGATGTTCATTAAGCAGGCATTTTTGAGCACACATTATGGGCCAGTCCTGTGCTACAATGAGAAGCACAAAGATGCCCAAGACATAGTTTCTTACTCAAGGAACTCAATGCCACAGTCCTAGTAAACAATTATAATCCAATGTGGGGAGTCAGGATGGCAAATCCGATTGGTTGGAGTGGGTTTGAGTGGATTGTGATTCCACTGGGGACGTCAGTTGTTGGGGCACCGTGTGGGAAGAGTTAGGAGGATGGTAGCCACACACCTGTGGTTGTTTGCTTTCCTCATGATTTAGTAATCTACTATGGTTATGGCAAAAGTAGGGTAAGCGTGCTGAGGAGGGAGCACTTCATTCAGGGTGGATTTTGCCAATCTGAGAAGGGGTGAGGGATGGGGACTGAAAGGGACTACCCTGCAAATGACCATTGCGAATCATTAGGCAAATATGTTGCAGCAAATTCTAAACAATGCTTCCAACAAAGGGACTAACTCCATTTTTAATCTTCTGCTTAAGGTGTTTGGTTAGAAAAGAAAGAGTCCTGCTTCTAAGCTAGTGACAAAGCGCTCCCAGACAAATGCACTGCAGGATCTTAGAACTAGAAGGCACCTTCATCAAGGGCCAGTTCAACCTTCTCACTTTACAGATGTGGAAACTGAGGACCAGAGAAGGGGATACTTTAGAGGTCACAGAGCAAGATAAAGGTCAAGCTGGGTTTGGAACCAGCACCCTGAAGCCGACCCCTGTGCTACTCCCTACCACCAGGCTGCCTCTTGGGGCACTGAGCTCTTAGGTCTGTAATGAATCCATCTGTCCATGTTCATCCGTCTGTCCATATTCACCCTTTAGGGATGAAAAGACTGAGTTGGATCCTGAGAATCAGATCAGGCTGATTTCCTTCATTATGGAAACATAGCTGTCTCTGGAGATGACCTTGCTCTGTGCCAGGAACTGAGAGTACAGAGAGGGATAAAGGACAGACAGTCTTTGCCAGGACACATCTACTCAGGAGGCAAAAACGATTGTACTCAGGGCCCCAGGAGAGCAGGAGTACCAAAAGCAGAAAACAAGAAAATTCCAGCTTTGATTAACTTACCCAGAATCTTGCAATGAGAAATTCTAGAACGAAGCGGTTAAAACTCTATGCCCCTGTTAAGTTTTGTATATTCAGATGAGGAGTATTTTCATTTTGAATTTCATCCGGGGAAGGTGCACAGTAAGCTTTGCAAGGCTTTGGGCCACTTAAGGTCTGACTCCTGCTAGGACCCCATGGCCTGCATAGGGGCAGAGACCTGTCGGAACTGATGACAACACATGCCATGCCATAGGTGCTGTAATGTTAAGTAGGCTTTGAGAGCCCAGAGAAAGTGATTAATTCCACTGGGAACATCGAGGAGTTGCTGACAGGGCCTCACAGAGGTGGAGAGGCTGGACATCCCCACAGGTGGAAGGCAGGGGCACTGGGCCTGAGGCCAAGCCCTCCTACCCCCAGGTTCTCTTGCCTCTGAGCCCCCTGCCCTGTCCATCCCTGTTAGGGGGTCTGTGCTATCTGCAGCTTTAAAGGGCAGGATGTGGGTATTTATAACCCAGGAGGAAGATGAAAGCCCTCTAGCTGGGGCGCTTGTCAGGCCCCCCTCCATCACCCACTTCCTTTGCGTCTCTTTGAACACAGAGACCTCACGCTGTGACCGCGTTCCCCACAGCCTGATCCTTGCTTGCTACAGTGAGCAGACTAGGCCCTAGGCCACTGGGTGTACATCTGAGAAGAGGGTGGGAGAGGAGCGGAACAAAGCTGTTGAGGGAAATTTTAAAACTTAACTTTTATTTATTGATATAATATGATAGTCATCATAAAGGAAATGTAAATGTTTCATCTTTGATCCCAGAAGATAGCTGTTTTATGTATGTGTGGATCTATCATGGGGGAGGGTATGTTTTTAACTCTCAAGTACTGCTTTGGCTTTGGTATGTCTGTTCACATCCTCATCGGGCTCTTTAAAGTTCTGTGCCTAAATGTGAATGTCCTGATTCCTTCTTCAGGAAGGTACTGCCACAGGCCAGGGTGAGGAAAGAGTTTGAGTTAGGAGGTCCCCACGACTGGTTCAGCTAGATGTGTCCCAGGGGCCTTCTGGGTGTGATGAATGGCCCAAAGCCGGATCTTCTCTTCTTGATGCTCCTGTGGGTTCCTCAGGGGTCCCTGCCCTGGTCCTCCGCCTGTTACTCTTCTTTAGGGACATACCTTTTCTCTAGAGGGCCACTTCCAGCAGTCCTCCCCTTTGCTGGGGCTCCTTTACCCTTCAGGTGTTCTCTATAGTAAGATCCCTTCAAGGAAGACCCTTCAGCAGGGCCCTCTTCTAATACAAAGGACAGTGTACCTTTTGCACCGCCCCATGGAGCCACCTCTCTTGGATCTGTTACTGCCACCTCTGGCTCTCAAGTTCCAGGAGACACCCGTCAAGCTCTCCATCACATTATTTACTCATCGAATAAATATCAATTGAGTGTTTGCCGTGTGCCCCAGCCGCTATTCTAGGCACTTGGGGAAACTTCAGAGAGCAAAATAGAAATCCCTGCCCTGGAGTGTTTATGTTCTAACAATAGAGTCAGACAATAAATAATAGGCACGGTATACAAGTAAACTATAAAGTGTGTTAGACTAGCGGTGTTATGGGGAAAAAGGAAAAGTCGAGCAGGATAAGGGGGATCAGGAGGTCAGGGGTGAGAGTTCCAGTTTTCAAGTGTGTCAGGGCCAGCCACACTATTCAATGAGAAGCTAACGTCTTGAGCAAAGTCAAGGAGGCAAGTGATGGGGCTATGTGGCTGGCTGCGTGGGCACAGCCTGAGCATGGGAAAAGTCCTGGAGCAGTGGCCTTGAGCAGAGGGAAGGGATGCTGACCCAGGGTCTCCAGGAAGGGACCAGCTTTAGATAGGAACATAGAAAGTAGGGATTTTGTTTGATTGTTTAAGTAATGTGTACGCCTTGAAGTATAAGGAAAGAGAGGACAGGACTTGGCCCTGGAAAGTGGCCCCAGTTGCAGTTTTTGGCACAGTTCTCAGGGGGCAGGGTGGCAATGGCCCAGCATGCAGGGCTGCAGCTTGCAAGGGCCACTTGGCTTGTTACAGGGACTTGTGGACTTGCTCTGTGACCCTCGAGATGTCACTTCCCCTCTCTGGACCTCAGTTTCCGTGTCTATAAAGTAAGGGGTGGCTCCAGCAGGTCTCCAGAATCTGGGAGGGTCTGTGATTCTACCAGCCCCATCTGCCTGCAGGAGGGGAACACAGCCCTCCATCTGGCTGCTGGCCGGGGCCACCTGGCTGTGTTGCAACGACTCATGGACATCAGGCTGGACTTGGAGGAGCGGAATGTGGTGAGTCACTGCCTGGAGGATATAGAGATGCATGACACTCACTGCCTGCCTTCAAGGAACCCTCAGCCTGTTATGCAGCCTAGTTTTCGCTGGTAGAGGCCCTGAAACCAGGAGCTGAGGACATGTTCTTGGACAAGCAGCTCACCAGGAAAAACTAAGCAGCAGCACCAAAGTCCAGGCTTAATGGGGCACTAGGCGTGAGGGATTACCAAGAAGTCATACATAGGGTGTGTGCTCAAAGAAGGGAGAAGTCTCAGTGGCCAGAATGGTCCAGATGACTTCCTCAAGTAGGAGGAAATGGACAGACAGCAGGGGTGAGGTGGCCTGGAGGGCGAGGAGAACGTGAGCAGAGGTGTGGAGGAGGGGTCGAATGTACCACATGCCCCTCAAAATGAGAAAACCAGGTGCGGGACTTAAGGAACCACAAATAACCAGGTCATCATCCGGAGGGCAGTGGAGAGCTCCAGGAGCCCTGGATCCTAGCATGAGGGCATCCTCTCACCTCAGGTTCTGGCCTCAGCCTCCTCTGTCCTCATACCTCTTCCATGTGTTTCAGGAAGGTCTGACTGCCCTGCACGTGGCTGCTGAAGGGCTCCACCTCAACTGTGTGCAGCTCCTCCTGGGGGCTGGGAGCAACGTGAACGCCCTCACCCAGGTAGGCAGGCCTCCCCACAACTGACGTCTGTCTGCCTTGGCTACGGGGCTATAACCATGTCAACAGCAGCAGCCACAATGATTCCTGAACATGATGTGAACAGAGGCTGTGAGGCAGCAGGCCCAGGTTCTGGTCTTGGCTTCTCCGCTGCTGAGCCGTGTGATCTGGGCAAGTTACTTAACCTCTCTGAGCCTCGTTTCCCAGCTATAAAATGGGGATGATATAGACTTGCTTTTTTACATTACTGTAAGGATTTAATACCTAGCGCAGTGCCTGGGATATAATAGGAGCTCAACACCTGTTCGTGTCGTCTTATTGTTGGGCTCTGCATAGTTCACAAAACGCCATCATCTCTATTACTTCAGGAAAATGTGCCTCATTTTACAGATGAGGAAACTGAAGCTTAGAGAGGTTCAATGACTTCCCCAGGTCACAAGCTAGTAAGAAGCAAAGCTGAGTCTGAGAAACCGATTCTAACTCCGGAGCTCATGGAAGGTTTGCCCTGCTCAGCGTGGGGTGGTTCCCCAGTATGGGGCCCACCTGTGCACGGGCCACACCATCCCTCAGAGCTGTGGCCTGGTGTGACTCTGGGACGGCCCTCTTCTCTCTCTCATCATATTCCTTAAATTGGCTGTTAGAAATTCTCCCCTGTGTCCTGGAAGGGAGGGCTGTGGTCTTTCTTTAAGTAGAGAGTTGGTACTTGTGCTTTGCTTTTGATTTTTAGATCGATGACAAAATAATTTTTCTTTGCTGGTTGAATGGCTACAGGGTCTGGAATTCTCTGTTTGTTCTACATCTCAATAACAAGGCAAAAATGATATTGATAATAAATAATAAAATATAAATAGCAAAAATAGTTTTAAAACAGGAATTGAAATGGTGTGCTAAAATATTTATTTGGCACAAAAGAAAACACTCCAGGAGAAACAGTAGAACAAAAAAGATAGGAGATATATAGAAAATAAATAGCAAAATGTCAAACGCAAATTTAATAATAATATCAGTGTTAAATTCTCCTAAGTGTGAATAATGCTTTGTAAGCCACAAAACACTTAATTTACAGAACTCTCTTAGGAGGTATAGGAGCTTCTAGCCTAGAGGTATGGGGGTTGGGAGGGACGCCAAGGCCCAGAGAAGAAAAGCAATACAGCTGCCTCAGGGCACCCGGCTGTATCCTTCTGCTGTTGCTCTTTGGTTAGTTAGCAAGTCCCTTTCTCTATATCCAGCACAGTACTCAGTACTGGGAGGGTTTCCTAACAGTAACAGCGTAAGAGTTTATAGATTGGGGAGGTCACGTCCAGCTGGTGGTCATGTGTGGGGCTGGAGCTGCCCACTGCACTGGGCCTTGTGCTTCAGTCTTGGCTTGAGGTTTCTGGCAGAGGCAGCATTCCCTTCTGACACTCCCATCCCTCACAGTGTGATGGAGCAGGGTCTCCGAAAAGGGGGCAAACCCAAAGTTAATGTGTTTCTCATTGAGAGGTGGCCTGGTTCCCACCCACTCTGTGTGCTCACTCAGACAGGACTTCGGGAAGGTGACCAACTTGTCCCAGTTTGCTCCATGATGTCCCGGGTTTAAAATGGAAAGTCCTGCATCCCAGGGAACCCTCAGTCCTGGGCAACCTGGGACAGTTAGTCACCTAGTGGGGCCTGCCTGGCAGAGTGGGAGGTATCTTATGTGAGATCCTTATTGGGCCAGGGGTGGGTTCTAACTGAAGGAGAACACTTAGAAGGTCCATCTGGGAGGAAACCCTCGCTCTGGCCCCCCCAGGTCCTGCTGGGATACCCTGAGACCAGCTCCAGCTGGGCAGTGCATGCCAGGTAGGGTTTGCCCTATACTGGCAAATCTTATTTGTCCCCTTCTTTGAAAGCCACTCCTCAGAGTCTGTACTCTGCGTGTCTTTACCAGCTAAGGAATTATGCAGGCTTTGGCCTATGTTTTGGAGTTTGTGACAGGGGTTAAGGAAAAGCTGAGACCGTAACGAGCTCCTTTTACTAGTCACCAGGCCTGGGCAAGTCATTGCTTTCTCCAGCCTCCATTTTAATGGGATAATAGTCCTGGGGGTGGGGTGGGGGTGGTGAGGCCTGTTGTGAGACAAAAATGGAATAATGAATCCAACTGTGCTTTGTAAACCCACTGTGAGGGAACCTTAGGACAATGCAGTGATTCCTGTTTTCCTCTAGAAGGAGCAGAGCTGCCTCCACTATGCAACCCTCAGTGGCTCTGAGGACATGGCCCGGGCCCTCATCCATGCAGGAGGCTGCACCAACTTGGCCGATCATGTAAGTGTGGGAGCCTGGACTAAGGGGGTCCCCACTGCAAAGTCTCCCATGACTTCATTGGGGAGTTGGGGGCCAGGACCAGGGAAGCTGGCAGCACACAGGAGAGTCAAATAAGATTCTAATGGAACAGGGTTAGACACCAAGCTTGCATTTCTTCCTAAGTGAATTATCTGCTCGTGCTCTCCACTCTTATCCATTAGGTCTTAATAATGATCTCTTTATTATAGATCTAGCCTGTGGGTTGTTCACTCTTTTCCTCTTATGTTGTGGTCCACGCAATATACCATAGATGACAGTATAACCTTGTAGTTAAGACCTGGACTTTGGTGTCAGACACCCTGGCTTTGAGGCCTGGCTCTGCCACTCACAAACTGAATGACTTTGGGCAAGCAGCTTTGACCTCCCTGGGCCTCTGTTTCCTTATCTATAGGTACTATTATTATTCCTATTACATAAATGAGGAACTATCTTCTTAAATTAGAAAGAGGTCATTTCATATAGCTGAAATAAGTACTCTCGTTAAAATAATTTTAAGGACAGAGTAACACAATTCATTGGAATATAAAGGACAAAAAAGGCATCCTTAATCCCAATACCCTAGGAAAGCAATACTTTTCTTTATTGCCTCTCAGTTTCTCCTCATATGTACAGAAGTATCTCCAGCTGGAGTGAATCCAGGCTAAGACAGAATTCTGGAAAGGGGGATGCTTATTTGTTTTTTCCCCATCAAGACACCCGAATCTTGACTCCTGCCCAGTGGAGTCGACCCCTCCTAGGTGTCTAGTGTTGCTGCAGTTTTCCTAGTAGACATTTTTAGGGGCTGACCATGCCAGATGTGGTCCCATGTCCACATCACATTTTACCTAACAGTTCTTCAACTGTTGGATATTTAAGTTGGCTCTGACTGTGCCGCTATAAATAATGATTTCATGAACATCTTTATAGTCTATAACTTTTGATTTCTTTTGCATTATATGTAAATTCTCCAAACAGAATTTTTTAGGTTAGGTAATAAAAGCTTTTTTATGATTTTTGATGTACGTTGTTAAATTGCTTTCCAGAAAGGTCACACCACATAGCACCCAGTCAGTTATGAGTGACCTTTTGCCAATATTAGATATTATTTTAATCAATTTTATAGTTAAGGAATCCTTTATTATTGTTTTACTTTGAATCTCTTAAATTACTATTGACCCTGAATTTTTCCCTTTAATTCATTTTTCTAGTTTAAGTTCTGCTGTGAGTTATTTCTTCAGATTCTTTCTAAATTGGTGGGATTCTTGTTTGTCTTTTTGTTTTGTTTTGTTTTTAAGCTGAGCCATCCTGCTACCTGTTGGCAGCTCAGCGGCTGCTCAGCTCGGGCTGGACTTGAACTGCTGTTGCTCAGAGCTCAAACTCTTGAGCGAGCTCTTAACCAACTGAGCCACTCGCCCAGCCCCCTTGTTTGTCTTTTTAAGCAATTTTTAAGAGGTCATTATTCTTGGACCATCGCATGTATTGTTTGCTCTTACAATTTTTTGACATTCTGAGGATGTAAATTTTTATGTAATTAAAGGTATTCTTTTTTTTTTTTTTAAGATTTTTATTGGGGAATTGGGGGAAGGGGAACAGACAAGTTGCTGTCGTTTTGTTCTTCAGTCTAGTTGTGGAGGNTGGCACCATCATTGTGCTCTTCCCCGACAAGGCAGATCAGTTGCTGCCTTCTGGATGGCCGCTCATGGCGGCTGCTGGCCGCTCACGCTGGCTGCTGGCTGCTGGCTACACATGGTAGCCTATGGCAACCCACTGAAGCAGGGGCTTCAGCCTACGCTGTTGCTGGTGACTCACAGCAGCCCAGCTCCAGGTTGAGCTGTTGTTCAGTATCTTAGCTGTAGAGGGCAGTGTCACTGGCTCTCATATGTGGGATCAGAACTGGGGCCCTCTGGCATCCCAAGCCAGCTCTTAACCAACGACATGCCACTCGGCCGGCCCTAGGGTTCACTCTTAGTGTTGTACATTCTATGGGTTTGAATAAATACAGAAGGTGCCAAAAAAAATATATACACATTTTAAGAAAGGGAAAAACTATTAAAATTGTAATACTTAATATATACCGATAACAAAAGATGAATACAAGTCACATTCGACTTCTGCAACTACAAGAGGTGCTCAACGTGGTTACCATCAGCATCCAGACACTTCTGATTATGGCAAACTACTGAGCAATGCTGACCGAAGGGTCCACTTGTATACATTTTTTTGGGTACCCCCGGTATATATAATGACATGTATCCACCATTATAGTATCATACAGAATGTCTTCACTGCCCTAAAAATCCTGTTCTTTGACCATTCATCTTTACCCATCCCCCACCCAACCTCTGGCAACCACGATTTTTTTACTGTCTCCATAGTATTGCCTTTTCCAGAATGTCATATAGTTGGTTATACAGTATGTAGCCTTTTCAGATTGGCTTTTTTTTACTTAGTAATACGCATTTACGGCTCCTCCATGTCTTATCATGGCTTGATAGCTCATTTCTTTTTAGCGCTGAGTAATATTCCATTGTCTAGATGTACCACAGTTTATCCATTCATTTATTGAAGCACATCTTGGTTGATTCCAAGTTTTGGCAATTACGAATAAAGCTGCTATAAACATCTATGTGTGGGTTTTTGCGTGACATAAGTTTTCAACTCCTTTGGGTAAATACCAAGGAATATGACTGTTGGCTCACATGGTAATAGTATGTTTAGTTTTGTAAGAAACTGCCAAACTGTCTTCCAAAAGTGGCTACCATTTTATATTCCCAGCAGCAATGAATGAGAGCTTCTGTTGCTCCACATCCTCACCAGTGTTTGGTGCTGCCAGTGGCCTGGCTTTTAGCCATTCTAGTAGGTGTGTACAGCATGTGTTTTTATGGAGCACTTTTTTACTTTCTGTCACTACAGGATGTTCCAGACTTATCCTATGTATTTCCTGCCTCAATGCTAGAATCAGCCATTTCTTCAAGAAGTATTGGTACCTTTTATTGGAGAATTTACATATTGCTTTTTTCACATAACTATATCTTTAAGATCTTTCTATATAAGTATATGTACTTAAAAACATCCTCATTCTTTTAGCTGCCTAGTATTCCATTTCATGGATAGACCATAATTTATTAAATTGTCTCCTATATAAATGTGGGTTCTAATCTTTTGCTATTACAAACAACACTGCAACAAAAATCTCTACTTATTTCATTCCATATATGTGGAAGTATATCTGTAGAATAAATGTCTAGAAGTAGATTTGTTGGGTCAAAGGGAACATGCATTTGTACTTCTTGTATATATTTCCAAATTGCTGTCTGTATGGACTATATCAATATACAAGTTCGGACAATTAAGTTTGCGAACTTGTTGCAACGATGTTGCTAACCTTTTTTAATATCAGAGGAATTATTCATTATGAATTTGTACCAACTGAACAAACAGTTAACCAAGTTTGTCATTTGGAAGTGCTGAAAAGGCTGCATGAAAAAGTTAGATGACTTGAACTTTTCGCCAACAATTCATGGCTCTTGCATCACGACAATGCACCAGCTCACACGGCACTGTCTATGAGGGAGTTTTTAGCAGTAAACAAATAACTGTATTGAAACACCCTCCCCACTCACCTGATCTGGCCCCCAATGACTTCTTTCTTTACCCAAAGATAAAAGAAATATTGAAAGGAAGATGTTTTGATGACATTCAAGACATCAAGGATAATACGACGACAGCTCTGATGGCCATTCCAGAAAAAAAGTTTCAAAATTGTTTTGAAGGGTGGATTAGGCATTGGCATTGGTGCATAGCTTCCCAAGGGGACTACTTTGAAGGGGACCTTAGTGATATTCAGCAATGAGGTATGTAGCACTTTTTCTAGGATGAGTTCTAGAACTTAATTGTCTGACCCCATATAGTCACTCTAGGAATATAAGATGGTGCCTAACTCCCCACAGCTTTGTCAACACATTTAGCACAATTTTGGATTGTGCCAATCTGATGAATGTGAATTTGCATTCCTCTTAAGGGTCTCTGTTTACCCTTTTCTATCAAATGTCTGTTCATGTAGGCTTTGACCATTTTTCTCTTGGGTTATTTTTTTAAATTTTGTAATGATTTATAGGAATCTGTTGAAGGACACCTGGGTTGTTTCCAGATTAGGGATATTATAAATAAAGCTGTTATGAACATTCATGTACAGGTTTTTGTATGAACATAAATTTTCATTTCTCTGGGATAAGTGCCAAGAATGCAGTTGTTAGGTCCTATGGGAATTGCATATTTAGTTTTATAAATAACTCCAAAACTGTTTTCCAGAGTGGCTGTACCATTTTACATTAGTATGGTATATTTGTTACAATTGATGGACCAATGTCAATACATTATTATTAACTAAAATCCATACTTTTTTCAGATTCCTTAGTTTCAACCTAATGTCCTTTTCTGCTCCAGATGAAGAGTAGTGGAGAAGGGAAATGACTTGCCCAAAGTCACATAGTGAGTTCCTGGCATAGCAAAGTCTCAAACTTGGGTCTTCAGGTTCCTGCCCAAGGATCAGTTTTGGACCCCTGTGATTCAGGCTTTGGGGCTGTAAATGCCTCAAGCTACCCTCCAAACCCCAAAGCACTATCTTTACCTCTCCCTACTCCCATCCCCCAGCACCCACCTGTAGCTGGGCAGCCCTGGGAGGGACCCATCAGTTGATTCGTGTGTCTCCCTGTCCCCCCCAGCAGGGCGCCTCTCCAATTCACCTGGCTGTGAGACACAACTTCCCTGCCCTGGTCCAGCTCCTCATCAATGCCGGCAGTGACCTGGATGCCACCGACAATGTAAGTGGCTGCAGGAACCACTTGGGCCCCATGGGGCCTCTGGGCACCCTCCTGTCTGGCAGGGCGTGGCTCCAGTTGGCTGGCATGGCCTAGAGCTGAGGAATTGCTTTTTTAGCTTGTAAAAAGCTCTTTGAATGTTTGTTGAAGGTAACATAATTTCACTAACCATTCCACTATTTTGAACACGTTGGTTGTTTCCAAGTTTTTGCCATGATATATATATATATATATATATATATATATATAACACTGCAGTAAACATCTTCCTACATTTAACCTTTTCCTTTCATTGATTGATTTATTTTTTATTATCTATCTATCTATCTATTTATTGTGTTAGGGAAAAATTCCCAGGGCAGAGGGGACTGGGCAGTCTTGTATAATAACGAGAGGCCTCCAAGTCCTGAAGTTGTGATCTGCTGGGAACTTTTTAAAATCCTCTTCCCCACAACCCACCTTCCAACCACATAGTTCTCAGTGTCAGCACACACAACCACTAGGGGTGGAAAGCAATTTGGCAGGATACATCATATATCGTTAAAATGGTCAGTATTTGCATGTCTGAGAATCGAGCTTCAAGAAATATATTAATAGCTCATGTGCAAAGGTATTCATTGCAGTACTGTTTATCAGTCTTCAATTTGAAAATGACCCAAAACTTTAGTAACAATGAAATGGTTACTAAAAGTTACTAAGGTAGTTTATATATAGTACAGATAGACTACTATGGAGCTATTAAATATGGTGTTGATCAGGGTTTATACTATATGGAAAGTATTATGTTAGGTAGAAAAATAGATGCAAAATGTATATACAGGATGATAAATATGTAAAGCCATCAAACTAAGGACATTCTGCATTAAAGGAAAGACTAGAAGAGTGATACTGGGATCATTACAGAGGTTGACTTAGGTGGGCTAGCAAGTGGTATTTTTTTCTTTGTTCTTTCCACTGTTTTGTCCTCTGCTGAGTAAGTACTATGTTCATGATTAAACCCAGTTTATCTCCCCTCATAACCTCTTAGAGAAACTTTGTTAAGGCCCAGCTGGGAGTCTACCCACTTTGGTCGTGTTTTAATTTTGAGCCTCGGTTCACCCCTACATGCTTTTCTGCTACTCTGTCCCCTTGGCTTTTTCTGCAGAGGCAGCAGACACCTCTCCACCTTGCCGCGGAGCACGCCTGGCAGGACATAGCGGAGATACTCCTGGTCGAGGGGGTTAACTTAAACCTGAGAGATAAGGTACCTCTCTGCTCACAACCAGCCTCCCTTTCAAGCTTCCTCTTTTCCAGAGACCCTGATGCAAATGCCTCCTGCTCTCAGGGTGTCAAGGCCTCCCATCCCGTTATATATCAGCTCAAATGGAGCCTCCTCCAGCAAGCCTTCCTGCCCCTCCTCCACCAGCCCCTGCCTCCCCTGAGGGCCCTCAGCACTTGGCACCCCCTCTCTCCTGGTGTAGGCCTGTGATATGGTTGTCTTCAGTCTCTAAGCACTTTGAGTCACCTGATGGGGAGTGGAAGTGGAGAGAGGTGCAGCATGCCACCATGCCACACCCTCTCCATGTAGGACAGGTTGTGGGACGCTTCCCAGCTCCTTATACCTCTGAGGCGGCTAACTTCCTCAGGTGGCTGGACGTCCAGGACGAGTGAAGACTTGGGATGAGGCTGAGGAGGTCCCAGGCTCACAAGGGAAAGGGCGTTTGTACATGTGGCCCAGTAAGGCCAGCCCTTGGGATGGTGTGGGAAGGGGTGGGGGCAGACCAGGCCCTGAAGCTGGACCTGGAAGGGGTTCCCCTGCTTAGAGCTGGGCCCCATCTCCCCGCAGGTCCTTGGGGGGGTGATTGAGGCCAGCATTGTACAGGAAGCCTGGATCAAAGGGCTGGGAGCCTGAGGGAAGGCGGGCGAACACTACACAATGAGCCCAAGCCTCATCTCTGGGCTTTGGGTTTCATCTGAGAAATGGGGCTGGTAACAACTATTTCACAGGTGATGAAGAGTTATTCAGGGTGCGATTCATAAACTCTTAAAGGTTTCCTAAATTCTAAAGAAACACAGGAGTTGGTGGCTGGAATTATTATTATTACCTTATTCCACCTGTGACTTTTCCACCTCTCTCGTTGTACCCAGAAAGCCTGTCTGCTCCCCAGCGTAGACTGCTGGAAACGGTTTTCTTTGGGCAGCAGAGTTTGTAATCAGTGCTAGAGGCCACGCTACATCTCTCCTGTAGACAGTCCAACTGCCCTTTTTGCTTTTTACTTGCAGCAAGGAAAAACGGCCCTGGCAGTAGCCGCCCGCAGCAACCATGTCAGCCTGGTGGACATGATTATAAAAGCTGATCGTTTCTACAGATGGGAGAAGGTACTGAGACCCTGTGCTTGGTCCTTCCATGTTGGAGCGGCCTTGGCTTCAGGTGGAGCTGGCTTTTCCAATTCAGGGGCCCCTCAGTTTCCAAGGGGATGATAATTTCTGCCTTACCTACCACGAGGGTTGTTTGTAAGGATCTGGAGATGGGGGCGGTGGAGGGGCACCCAAACCACACTGAAACGAGGCTGACTGAGGTCCATGCCAGTGTGGAGAGACTACTGGACACTGCTGTCACTCTTGGTTGATGGATGAATGCGTGCACGCGTGGACAAAGAGATGGTCTATTGGTTCCAGCTCATTGCCATCTCCAGGCGATTGGAATTGCTACTTGGGATGTTGTATTCAGGTAACTTTCTGAGCCCAGAAGGAAAGTGTGTTGGGATTGATTACTGATGTCTGCTGTGGAATTGGGAAAGAAAAGTGGCTGATAGAATGCTATGCATTTACTATTCTAATTGTCAGCAGTGGGGGGCGGGGAGTGTTTTTGGTGTCTCAGGGTTGTTTTTATACACAGAAAATAATTTTTACATTTACTTCAGTTTTAAAAATTAATACTCAATATACTACAAATTTAAAAACGAATTTTCCTTAGACTTTTAAATTCATTTTATAAATCTTATTATTCTATTTATACAACCTAGTAAATTTTAACAGTCACTTTCAAGAAGCTTTTTGATTAGTGTTTGGTCCCGTGTTTAAACTTAGTTAATTAAACTACCATGAACATTTTAAACTGAACGAATAAATTCAATATGTTAGATTTTCATTTGAAGCACTTCAAATGCTTCCTAAATGCTTAAATTATCTTAGTAAATCCAATAAATGAAACCTATAAATAAAGCGAATTTCAAATATCTTACACTTTCTAATATTGTTTACAAACTTAGTAAACTTCTTTTTCACCTCTCAAATAAAAAAACCACTATTCCAAAGTCAGTTGATGGATAACAAATTTCAATAGACATCATAAGATGTTCTGTTTCACTGACATGCTAGATTCTCACAAACACTACAACCCCTTTGCAACAGAGGACTCCCAAATGTAACCCCAAGAGATTAATACCAAGCATTTGATGAAATGATTTATCTCTGAGATTAATTCTAAACCACTTCACTTTTTAAAAGTTCTCAATACTAAGGCAGAGGTGCAGTTAGAATCACACATTCCCTCTCCTTACCCCTAGACCAATTCAATCAGAATCTCTGGCCTGGGACCAAGCATCAGTAGTTCTTAAAGCTCCCAGGTGATTCCAATGTACAGATGTGGCTGAGAACACTGCCCTAAGGAAATGGTTTTCAATACTCCAGGTGAGCTAAATTCCCAGTTCATCACCTCACAGGTGACTGGCCAGATACTGTTGACCAAACTGTAACATGCAGACACCACTTTGGTGGCTTTTCTCACCATGAGCTTTTTAAACAACCAGAACTCTGCCTTTACTTCCTTTATTTAGGCTTTTCTGGGTTTAATTTATGCTATTACATAATTCTTTTGTAACCGCTCATATTTTTTTTTAAGTGGTGAAAGAACAGTTTATTAGAAGAGATAGTACACTTCAAAGAAATAGAAGCCGGCCGAGCAGTAGAGAATGGCTCAAGGGCCGTTATTAGAAGAGAAAGTACACTCCAAAGAGTTTGGAGCGGGCCGAGCCAAAGAAGGAGCTCAAAAGGCCTGTAACCTCTCATTTTATCACCTGCTTTGCTTAGAAAGAATTCTGTAACCCCACCCATCACTACTTGTTGGAATTCAGCAAGTCCAGTGCCTGGTTCTTGGCTTGCTTGGTTTTAGCTACAGCTGCTGAGTCATCCTCATGACACCTGTAATACAGAAACACAGATAAAAAGAGAGGAATTGGGAAGCCTCCCTGGAAGAAGTGGCATTTGGGTAGTCTTTTGACTGTGGCAATGGGGTTCAGGGGCAGGGAGGCAAGAAAAGGAATTCTGGATGGAGGAACAGTGTGAGCAGCTTGGGTTCCAGAGGTTAAGACAAAGAACAGAGGCAGAAACCAGAGTAGTGGACAGTAAGGCCCAGGTCCGTAATGATGCCAAGCCCAGTTCCCAGTCCAGGATCACCAGGGGGATCCTGGTAGGGATTTCCTTGAGAAGGCTGCTGCATTTTTGGGATCTGCTCCACAGGACCACCCCTCCTGCAGGGACCGCAGTGACCCCTCTGGGAAAAGCTTGACCTTTAAGCAGGACCATCGGCAGGAAACACAGCAGCTCCGCTCTGTGCTGTGGCGGCTGGCCTCCAAATACCTGCGACCCCACGAGTGGAAGAAGCTTGCGTATTGCTGGGAGTTCACCGAGGCCCACATCCATGCCATCGAGCAACAGTGGACAGGTACCACCTTGGCTTGGCACCTCAGAGCCACCAGTGGACGGAGGGGTCGGGGCACCTGAGGTGTGTTCAGTTTTCTGTGCTTCTAAGGAAAAAGCCTGTGTAACCCACAGCCCAGCCAAATGAAGCCACAAGTCGTTTGCAACACACCGAGTGCTTTTTCATTCCTCCAGGCCTTTGCACAGCTGTGTGCCCTCTGCCTTTCCCTCCCCGTTGACCTGTGAACTTCATTCTCATGAATCAGCTGGAGCCAATATGCATCATTCATACACAAAACTAAAGGCACTCCTGGTAAAAAGAAGAGGCGCTGCTGTCCCACTATTATTTAACATCTATTTGGAAAATTTGGCTCTGGTACTAAGGCATGAAACAGAAACAGAAATAAAGAGTACAAATATTGGAAAGGAAGAGAAAGATTTATTAATTTCAGATGCTATAATTATTTACACAGGAAGTCCAGAAGAATCAATTGAAAAACTCTTAGAATAAAATAATTCAATGCGGGCCGGCCGAGTGGCGCGTTGGTTAAGAGCTGGCTTGGGACGCCGGCTCGGAGCAGCAGGGCCCTGGTTCGGATCCCACATGAGGGCCAGTGACCTGCCCTCTACAGCGAAGATGGTGAACAACAGCTTGACCTGGAGCTGGGCTTCCGTGAGTCGCTGGCGACGGCGTAGGCTGCAGTGAGCTGCCAAGAGCCGCCGTGAGTGACCTATCTGCCTCACCTGGGAAGAGCGCAATGATGATACCAACATGGGCCACAACTAGACTGAAGAACAAAAGGACAGCAACTTGTCTGTTCCCCTTCCCCTGATTCCCCAATAAAATCTTTAAAAAAAACAAATAATAATAATAATTCAATGCAATGGCTAAGTATATGATAAAATATACAAACATCATGGTATTCGTATTATTAGTTAAACCATAAAAGAAGACTTGGGTAAGTGGAATGACATTTTGTATTCCCAGCTAGAAAAAAAAAAGTGTCATGTAGATATTGATTTTTCCCAAATTAGATTAAAACTTTGATCCAATTTTAATCAAATGAATATAGGTTTTTATTTATTTATTT